GTTTACGTATGCCACAGCTTATAGATATTCAAGTTATCCTCGCATAACGTTGCGGCCTTACAGTGGTAACTTTGAATGGGTCTTCTTTACACTAATTTATTGGAACTACTGCTTGACTTGATTACAATGGTGCTATAAGCTCTTACCTAACGGGTATATACTGTTTGCTATTCATTTGCGAATTAATCGGGGTAATACTGTTATTGCCGTCGGGTAAATCTGACCGCGAATGTGACTGTTAGATCACGGCACCTCTATAGACCCTTTCCAAATTTTTTTCTGTTCACGTCGATAACTATCACCATCTGAAAGTGTGGCATCTGCGGCAGACTAATGGCAGCCTACTGCTGGCCGATGAAGGAAGAAGCTAACTACGTGCACTTGATGAAACAAAACAAAGCCTGGTCATTCTAGAGGTTAGTTTAATGAAACCCATAAATCAGATACAAGCGATCCGGAATCTGCGCTCATTTATGACTCGGGAGCAGAAAATCTGTTGGAACAGACTAGGCTCCTAACCCCTACGACGTGGGAACTTTTATCGAGAGTTTTACTCCGGCAAACAGAGAGAAAGAACTGTACGGCAAAGCGCACATACCTGCGTGCCGTTGACGTAGGTAGTGACGACGCCAGATAAGACACTAGACTTTTACCTCCATTAGCATGCGAAAGGTTAGACTCTGAGTCATTACATCGCACTGAATTTCTTAAAGGGTCTATTGCTCCGAAGTAGGGTCTGTCGTATCTATTTTCTCCGCTGCAGGTGTAGATGTTTTGTTTCTTTTTTTTTTTTTTTTTTCACAGCAACGCATTCGCGTCTGCGCTAGCGAATGAATAATTCTCTCTACTGCATAGATAGCAAGTTTCTTGTTTTGTTCACGGTGCGTCATATTATCGAATACGTTGATCGAGACACCTTTGTTATCGCTGTTTTTCTCTTTTCGAGAAAGAGGTGCACTCCGTCTGGCTTATACAAGGGGAGCGATCGAGCGGCCGTGTACATACGGACGTCCTCGAAGATACGCCCTTGACCGAGCGCCATTAAGTAACCTCCCTCGACGGTGAGGCTTGATTCGGCTGTTTATAAAAATCTGTTTTGTTCAGGGCCCTCCCCTAGCTTCAAAAAGGGAGCCTCTGTCCGCGCTAAGGTATTTTCTGGCACACGCGCTTGTGCACTCCGATGACATCTGGGCTTTCCCTTGTGATTGTTTATCACGTTTTTAAGAAATTCACTCACGCTATCATCATTTCTCGGCGGAAACGCATAGCGTTGGCTCCCATTTTAAAAGTATTTGGCGGCTCGAGGTTTGCTTCTCTCCTTCGTACCTTAACATGTATGGCAGCAGATGCGACAGGCGGGGGCTCCTTGCTTTGCAACAGGGCTAAGATCCACAGATTCCAAAAAGAGCACGTGCCAAAGCTATAAGCTCACCCTTTTAGCCTCGGGTGCGGCATGCATAAAGGTGATGTCGGGTAGAGCTTGCTTTGACACGTGCTATTAGCACTCAATTCAACAAGGATTCTTCTCACCGTAAGACATAAAAATCGAGGCGCCCTAGGTCGGACGGTTGTTGGAGTTGCACTTAAGGCAGTTACTCTCACGCTTTCGCGTTGTAAATAAAAAAAAATGTATATAAATAAAAAAGCATTTACAATGGCAGAGTTTCTGGTAACTTCACGACCAACTCGAAGGTACGACCGTTAAAGGTATGATGACAAGGCCGAAAGTGATCGAACCGTTCATTACCGACGAAGCCCCACTGTTCTCGAGAGAACAGAAAGGTCACGCCTTCTTAAGCGTACAAAACGTTTTTATGAAGTTACCTCTACCGTATTTAATAAGAATGGCGTTGTTTGGTTCAACGTTTCAACCTCGAAATGTACGCACCTGCAGGCTTGCTAATACGAAAAACTGACACTGTCGCACCTGATATACAGGAAACGTTATAGGTTAAAGACGAGTGGCGCACGTTAAGCTACCTGAAACTCCTGTTTCATTTGTTTACTCGCACTTCTAATTATTTTGTATATAGTTGAATGTGCCTTGATTGGAGCGCTTCCCTTCGTATGCATTTCAAGACAATCCGTTTGGAGCACTTCTTTCACTGACTGCCTTCCACCTTTATTGTCCGTCACCTTATAGAGAACGAAAGCTCGTCGAATTGCCTAAAACCGCTTTTTTCTTTCTCCCTCGGGAGTTGTGTATGCAAACTCATTGTTATTATTACTGTTATAACATTGCTACTGCTAACATTACATTGGGATTACGATTATCATCAACGTTATTTAAAAGCTCGGAACTAAAATGTCCCCCAAAGACACAACGAGCTCACATCGAGTCCAACCGCAGCCACCGCTACGATCCGATGGATACAAATCAGCAGCGGCAAACGTCAGTCGTCACCTTTGTGCGTTTACTATTTTCGGCTGAATAAATCACGCACAGAAACTTCCCAGGGTCATACGCAGTCGCTGTGCGTAATTTATTTAGCCCCTGATTGCAGATGCAGAAACACTATGGGCGCCGTCACGGTACACTTCGGGCTCTATTAAGCGGAGTATATACTGCCTGTTTTTTTCGAAGACGCTAAACGCCTAAGGTCTACTGCAAGAAGGACACAAGCCCGTTATCTATTAAAGCATGAAAAGCTTTTTAACGCTATCGCCCCACCCCCATATCCCAAAAGTTTGTCCGTCAGTCCGTTCGTGCATTTTTCGCTAAATTTGGCGGGAAAGGTAGCGTCAAGTGACGTTAGATGACGTCACGTGATCTAGACACCCTGGGGAAATTGACGGAACGTCACCTATACTTTAACACACTTTCCCTGCTGAATTTAGTAGGAAAATTCCCTTCTTGTGGCAAAAACATCGATTCAGTTTCCCCGCTAATTTTAGCGGGAAATTGACGTCACGTGGCTTATGCACCAATTCAGTTACCCGCTAAGTTTTGCTGGAAAATTCACGTCTGGTGACCTAGACGCCAATCTAGTTTCCCCGCTAAATTTAGCGGGTAAACCGACGTCACGTGACCTGACATAATGCGATCTATACAACCATTCAGTCAGCTTTGATGTCTTCAGTGGACAGTCGCCGGTTTAGACAGCATGGCAACACCATCGAGGAGCGTGGACATGAGAGGTGACATTTTAATCCTTTGGTTCACGAAGCGGAAGAGATCGATTTCCGCTGGATGACAACGGTTTAACAGCAAAGCTTTGCCGCCGTGCAATTGTGCGTGAAACCAAGTACACTTTGCAACGCAAATTAAGTCATTTCCATGCGTGGGATAGGCCGTGATGCAAAGGTTCGCGAAATACGCGAGAGGGCGCTAGCGTAGGCGTCTGAAGAGCGCCCTTGCTGATTCATGATGAGTAGTTGTTGGCGTCATCGGGGAATTCGACTGCGGTGGGAATAGCGTAGGCAGTAAAGAGAGTGGAAGCTAGCAGTGCGGGCCTCGTTCACGCTGAGGTAATGGGCAGCGAGAGTTTAAAGACACATTGGAATGACTGAATTCAAATTTCGAAAGGGCCTGCGTAGTATAGACTTGTATGAAACAGATAAAAACAATGAAAAAGTTTCGGAAAGAATGCATGCACCTCTCATGTAGAATTGTGTATTCTCAAAAGGAGAAGACTCATTAAAATTCTATCTCTGCTTGCAAATACCGGCGAGCAAAAATTAAGCATTTGAACCGTAATCAAGTCTGTGTCGTAAACAATATGTGGATATTTGAGCAGAAATACGCTGAATGCGGATTGAAATACTGCAAGTGAAGGTACATCTTTCGTTTGTGGTTTTTGATGTTGGAAATATGAGCGGCCAACTGAGCAAGCGGGCTGTCTCTAATTTTTTTAAATATACGTGGTATTCTAAATTTCTTTAGTGGCGAAATATTACGCAAATGTGATAAATTGCTCTACTGTTAAAGGTTTTGAAACCGTGTCAGATATAAGGTGGTGCGACAGAGGCCAGTGTGGTAGAAATAGTAGTACACGTCTTAAGTTCACTTTGACGGCAGTGTGATTCATGTTTTGTGACTGATTGACATTTAGTGCGCATGCATCAAGGAAATATAACCTGTGCAGAGCTATAACAGTTGACCTGAGTAAAACGTTTTGACCGCAAGGTTCCCGAGTTCCTGGTACTGAGAAATCTCCAGCTATCAGCGGTTGAATTACGTTACAGCAGTGGAGCAGATAGATAAAATATTGCCGCATTGGTCTCTGGCGACGCGTCGGCAGAAAAGGCACAATACTCACCCCTCTTTTTATAAAATCACATAGACCGGCAAACGCTGGTATAACGTAAAGCCCAACTTACGGGGCCGCATGTGCCCGCGTTCTTCTGGTAGAATAAACATCTGTAGTCCGCCACAAATCTGACAGAAGTGGATGTATGGCGTATTTCGTGTCATGACTCAACACGCTCTGCTTTTGAAATCAATCCACTATTGAGCCGGGATGTCATTTCAAGGACGCGAGAGACTGACCACCTGTTGGATGAAAGAATGTGTATTGCAGTATCCAGGGCAAGGTGTGGCCGCGCGGTTCTGGGGCATCGCCTCAGTTTTAAAGTCGTTTCACGTCTACTGAAGCTTCAGCTTGCAGATAGCAGGCCTCTTCTCCGCACCGGACCTCAGCAATAGTCGCTTTAAAATGAATCTTGATACTATACTACTCGAGAACACGATTTGCAGTCATCCGTTCTTAGCCCGCCATTAAAACTCGGTGAATGAGTGGAAGAGCTATCCATGTGCTGGAGTAACCTCAGTCGACCGCACGCTGGTCGGGCAATACTCCATAGCTCCGGTGCTGGGCCACGCTGAGCGGAGAAGACGAAAAAGGGGTCGCCACGAGCGTCGATTCGGCGGCTATTTGTGCATCGACGGGGGCAGGAGGACGAGACCCGGGAGGAAAGCGAGGAAGCGCCGAGGGGGCGACTGTACAACGACGCGGGCGAAACCCTGCGGTGCCGGGCAGCTCCGACAAGCGGGGACTTACCGGATCCCAGCAGGGCAGCCAGAGCGAGAGCGGCAATCATGGCGAGCGTGCAGCAGAGCAGCCTGGCAAGAGACGTAATACGGCTTCCTGCCACGGTGGCCGCCTTTTCATACCGGTTCACTTTCCGAGTTAGCCTCAAAACCAGGACAGCGCCGCCTAGGGCTGGTCACGTTCTCTGGCCATAGACAGCGGCGGAGGGCGCCCCCACACGCTTTCTTTCTCGCTCTCCACGCAAGAATGCAGGGCCACTGAGATCGTCGTCGCGCCGATGGGGCGACGATAAGCGTCGCCGGCCAAGCTGCCATCCCGGCCATCCCACCGTCCGACGTGGCGATGGTCCATCAAGGACGCGGCTGCCGGACACCCGGGCAGGGCCCTTGCCGCAGCTCCACCTCCGCCCAGCCGAGGGCTCGAAGGGCACTGGCCAACTGATTTCACTGTCGCACCGGCCGATCGAGTCGGGCTCTGTCAACTGGTTTCCTAGGTGGTTCCGCCGATCCCTTCCGTGATCCGTTTGGCTGCTCACGTGACTCGCTCCGTCTTGTCCTACCTCCTCCTCAAAACGTGCGTTGGTTTGACCGCAGCGAGGGTAGAACGCGAGCCAAAAGCTGCGATTTGTCTACGGTAGTCATCAGTTGCTTTGACAAGGCTTTCTAATGTTAGCTTTCAAGTCTACCAAACGGTTTTGATTGTTTTTAGCGAGAAAGCACCTCACAAAGAGCAGAAACTACAAGGGATGGTCACGCGTCGTGGGAACAACTACTACGCTTGGCATGTTCACCCAAGAGGTCAAAAGTAGGTTTGAACCATTCCAAGATAACGGGGGTGCAATCTAGAGAAAGTGCTTGGTGAAGAACTTCTTAACTTAGTTTACGTGTTTGCCTTGTAGGTGATCACGCTGGTGGTTTTGAACTTCCCGTCCAGAAGAGGGAATCTTGCTAGATCGATTCGGGTGCTGGCAACCTGTGTCCCACTGAAACTGCAAGGAACAGTCTGACTTACACTTGGTTTTACCTCATCGATGCTTGTGATATGCCCATTGTTCACATATTTGTCGGCCAATAACACTATCAATGAGGATGAACGGAAAAAAATAATAATATAATTAACAACGGGGTTCCGTTTGTCCATGCAAACATTCTACCCTCGCAGGGTGTGACTCATTATGCTTACGCTTTTCGCGCCTCATGATTCGTCCTTTGGCATTCGTCTCAGCTAATGTCCCAATCTCATTGGCTAATGGAGGAATAAGAGGATGGTTGGTACTCGTTACGCACTGCATTTTTTAAGCTGTCATAGAATATATAGCCCTATTGTTTTCTTCCGATGTGTAATACTTGCCAAGCCTTCACGGTTTTCATTCCTGGCATGAAAGCTAAGGCTGTCATTATAATGAATAGAGAGCGCTACCCGATTCCAAAGTCTCTAGAGTTAATTTATGAGAGCACTGATAATAATTCTTAATTAGGTAAGAGTAATATAGAACACGCGGCATAAAATGAATGCTGTGCGTTACACTGTTGCTTTACATTTAGGAACACACCAACTTATCGGGGAAGAAAAAAGAAAAGACGTTTTGTTTATTTGCAAGGTTCCAGTAATGTGCATATGATGAGTCAAGTTTATGAAATGTTAAAATAACATTTTTACACGTTTATGCACTGAGAAAATATCGCAGCCAGTGCCATTCATTTTATTCCCTCAAAACGTTTCAATTTACCTCTCAATCAATGCATCCGATTATATGCTTTGCAGACGGAACGATTCAACAAATCGGCTTAATATTTTAAACCTCCTCGTACAGTAAAAATATATTGCGATTCACCTCCATTTGTATATTGCAGCTGTCTAAAAACTTTTACTTGAATTCTTTAGTTCTCAATGATATATTTCATCGCATAAATAAAATACACCAAGGACACCAAATATATTAATGAAGGCACTCAAGTTTTTACCATAGTCACTGAGTGACACGGGTTTCCATTTTGCCAGAAAAGTTCGTAACTAATTTATAAGGTTGTGATTGAACTTTAACGTAGCATGCATTGCGTGTAGTTCTAAGCATTACTGTAATGTTCTTTATATTTAAAGGGAAGTTAAAACGTAAAATGCTATACAGTCATGCCGCGTTAATATGAATTCTCTGTTTCCACGAAAGTCGTCCGTAATCTTAACTAACCATAATAACCTAAATACGGCTAACCATCACGTGCACTCTAGATCTCAATTACAAAACTGAAGTGACATTATCAACTTTCATCTTTATATAAATATTCCTGTCTTGAGCTTTTTTATACTATGACAGAGTGCTTAGACTGAGCTTCACGGCACTCTTGAAGAACAGAAGGAATATCATCATGAAAAATTGGTTTAGAAATATGAGTTTTGTACGGTGAGCTGGACGCTACTCTTCACATGATCAGTAATCTGATATTATGCTACAAAATATATATAAGCTATCATGTATACAGTCTTTGAATCAATACTCAAATTAGATACTATTTAACCGCTAAACGTTTGAATCATCAAACATTGCTGCTGTTCCATAAAGTTAAGGAAAGCTGCAGACTTCCGACTTCTTCAAAAATAATTGGTAATACAGTCGTGAATAGTGTGCTTTTGAGTTATAGACCGATTTCAATACTATCATGCATCAATGATAAATGATATGAAAAATATTTAGCGAAAGTAACCGCCTCTTTTAGTTATGAGCTTTGACTCGCTCGCTCATCAGAAAACGTGTTTCGGCGACAAAACGCAGAAAGATGGTTTCTAAAAGGTTACAGGCATCAATTATCGGCTCTTACAGAATTAAACAATTACTCTCGAGCTACTTCCAGACCTTTTCAGACTCTCCGATGTATAAACACCCTTCAATAGTATATCTGAATTGTTAAAAAAAAAACCTGCTTTTTGGGGCGGTCTTACAGTGTTTTTGTTTGTAACTGAGGTGCGATGTGCACCAGTCCTTAAGAGAATCTTTCATATGCCAGAGAACTACGTCTTCTGAGACATGTTCTAGATATAATCAACAAGAGCTTATTCAATTGTTAATGGTTGTTAAAAATACAGTTTACGGTTTGAAATATTAATCTCCAGGAACAAACGAGAGTGTAAATGGCGCTTGCAGTATTCTCGCCTGAAAATGATTTTAGATTTTCTGTATTAACAAAAAATAATACTCCAAATAATTCAGTAAACTTGTCAACAGGATCAAAACATTTAGACAAACAAAAAGGCAATCCATTAAAGATATAAAAATTGTGAAAAAGATTGAAATGGTTTAGGATCCTGCTACATTTAACAATGCACCCGAAAACCTTCAAAATGATTTACCTCGAAAGCAGACGAAAAAATAAAAAGGTTAATTTTGCCTTTCAATCAAGTTGCGTTTAAGGAATCACTTTACATGTTAAGTATGTTGACTAATATGAATAGACATATTCTGGAATGCTATTGTTTGTTGATGGTGTCTTCTGTTTTTCACTGTTAGTTGTTGGAATGGAATGTAAAATTTCGTGAAATGCCAAAGGATTCGTGAAATTTACATTGATATGTATCAAGATACATTGTGCACGAACCTGGGTTAATTGTAAATTATTGTTATGCGTTCTTGTGCAATTTCTTTCTTTTAAATATCTACATTTTAAGACCTCCGAATGTGCTCCGGTTCCCACATACAAGCGTGCTACTTCCTGAGCGGGCAAGTGGCTTGCTGGTTTATAATTTTAATAAAACTAATTGCTATTCGTTAATAAGAATAGCAACACCAAAAGCTGTATAATGTTCTGTATGTTTTTTTCTTGTTTTTTGCAAGTGCCGACTGATCTGTCCAAGTCTGTATGGGAGGCAGGTACCTGTTAAGCTACGTAATGTAGCTTTTTTCCTGTCTCCTTCTCCAAGCGGGAGTCAATAAAAATGAATTGAAATGAAATATTTAAGTGAATCAACTTTTGCATTTTATACACACGGCGCTTACGTTGTATAATGATCAATTGAACATTTCTTGAATAAATTTTGGTTGTGGTAGAGTTTAACCCAGTCTAACTGAGCTGCCCAGGTTAATGAACAACGGTCTTTATTCATTAACATTAATTAAGAAAAATAATGGGCCAAATACAAATCCTTGGGGATCATTTGAGCATACGTCAATAATTTACAAAGCATGCATTGAATTTAGAATCCAGTCTTATTTTAGAGCGCAGCTCTTAGGCGCCCGTTTCCGGCTTGAGCGGCGACGCCATCAACGTAACCGCGCGTTGCATTCTGGGAGGTTCCCATAATTACGTCACACGTGACGCCACGTGTGACGTCACGAGAGCAAAATTTTCCCGCTAAATTTTCCCGGTTTGAGTGGCGTCACGTGTGACGTCATGTGATGCCACAAGGGTAAAATGTTCCCAGTAACTTTAGGGGGAAATTTTACCCTCGTGACGTCCCATGTGACGGCACGTCAGACGTGACGTCACGTGTGATGTCACGAGGGTAAAATATTTACTAAAATTTTTCCGGAAACATTTTCTCGCCAAATTTAGTGGAAAAATTTTACCCTCATGACGTCACACGTGACGTCACGTCAGACGTCACGTCACGTGTGACGTCACAAGGGTAAAATTTCCCCGCTAAATTTTGGGGGGAAAATTTCCCTAGAAAATTTAGCGCAAATATTTTCCCGCTAAATTTAGCAGAAAAATATTCCGCCAATGAGATGAAAAGTTGGGTGAGTTGGTTGATTTAGCCGGAAACTTTTAGCCTCTTGACGTCACACGCGAAGTCACGTGTAATGCCACGTGTGACGTGACGTGACGTCAGACGTCACGGCACCCTCCTCTGCGTACCCTCCCCCCTCCTCCTCAAGGGCTGCGCTTTAATTCGTCATTACAGGGAATTGTAAACGTCCCTATTGAAAATTCTATCAACACACGTAATTTGGGACACTGACTGCCAGTCAGCAGCCCTGGTGGACCGTGCCCTGATGGTCCATCAGATGACGTCTGACTGCCACTGCCATGGGGATTTCATCAAGGGCAGCATCTATATAAAAGCTCCCATTCCGAGGTGTCCATCTTGGATGGCTATAAAATGGTTCACAAGCCGAGGTGGCCATCTGGCATGGCTGTGAAACGGTTCACCAATCCTTAAAATGAACGTAATTCACGACATCGAAAATCAGGAAAAGTGTGTACCCGCCCTTATTTTAATTTTTTCTTTTTCACTTTTGAAGTTTGCGTTTTCGGGCAAAAGGGACATTCGTTTACAAATTGGACCACATGCTCCCTAAGCATGTTTCAGAGAAACGCCCTCGATGTCTGAACCAACCTTTCGGGACGACCGTATACACTTTAATTCACAAAATAATGCGACTCTGTTGAAGCTAGAGAGCAAGCATGCATGCTAGGACGGGTTCACATCACAAGAGCGAATGACATTTTAGCGAACAGCAACATTTGAGCGAATCGACGTTTTAGCGAATA